AATGTTTCTTTCTAATATGTTATAAGGTTAATTTTTTTTTTTAAATAAAAAAAAAAATTATTTTTTTGAGTGTTTTTGTCCTGTGGTGTGTATAATGTTTCTCTATGTTATAATTAATCTATTTTTGTGTTTATATTTGTTAATAAAATTTTCAAATTGTTGTAGTTGCTGAATGATGACACGCATCTTGTGTCGAAACGTATAAATAAAAGTTTTTAATACTTTTTACCTTTTTTATTTTGACGAATGGGCTGCTAGTTACTTTGAAATATATATATATATATATATATATATATATATATATATATATTGTACATTTTGCTTTATTTTAAATTCATAGACTTTGTAAATTGTTACATCCTTCAAATAAATACATTCTACCTACACTTCTTGTTAAAGCTCAATTGACAATAATGTTCTAAATTACTTCATTTATATGATGCAAGCTAATTCTAAATGAACAAACGCAATGATCATTTATATTACAATCAGTAGCTAATATTTAATTACTTTTATAACAACTATGAAGAATGCTTAATTACATATTGAAGAATGTGTTAAGTCTTAAGAATTCAACAGTTTTACTCCAAACTGCAAATTTGCTATTCGTGTATCTTGCTAGTTGGTACTTTCTTTCAAATTGTTAAAATGCTAAAAATTAATATACAAATATATAATATTTTAACATATTTAATTTTCAAATATTATGCTTTTTAACTTATTATATTTTGCTTAAAAGTTATAATTTTAGCTTTTGTATTTTTTATCTTTTACGACATCTTAAACACTCGATCCTTCCCATATGAGCCAATGGTAAAAAATTTACTAAATATTTTTAACCAGGATTATATTTATTTCAATATTCAATTTAAATTTACATAGAGAGAAGTTAGTTTAAAAATCCAATTTGCAAATTTAATGTTTTACTTGATTTTTACAGTAAATCTGAATAAGCCTGCACATAGTTTGGTAAATGCATAAGTATCTATGTATTTTCATGAATCGAGATTTTCAAAAATATGATATATTTTTAATAAAAATTAACAAAGCCTCAGGGTTATTGTTTTACAATATAATTCAAAAACTTCCAAACATTCAAGAGATTTTTATAATCAAAAATATTTTTTGCATATTTTCTCTAATCAAAGGTTTCTGAACCTCATTTTTACATACCTTAGAAAAAATGGGTGTATATTTGGATACAATGCTTAGTCCATGATTTCAATAATTTAAAAAAACATTCGATTCTTACTGATTCGAAGACTTGCTGATTTGATTTCGACAAAGACAGGTCCAGCAGTTTTGGAAATACGATCCGAAAAGTGTATAAAATAGAGATTAAGTTTTTGATAGAACAGACTATCGACTTGAATGGTTTCAAAAACATTCAATTTGTAATGATGGGAAGAACTGATAAGTATTTGACAAAGACAGACTTAGAAATATGAGATAAGTTCTTTTATTCCAACTCCGCTTCATTAAGTTTTTGCATTTTATGTAAACATATCTAAACATCGTCGTCTAATTTATAAACTCTTATATTTTGTCTATAATATAAGAACAATGAAAGTTATAGAATTTGAATTAATTTATTTGAAAAAATTTAATATTCTTCGAATATTTCATCACGGTTCCAGCAATCTGACTTAAAGCACGATGCCATGCACCACTAGTTTGTCATTTTTTGACAACAATATATTCGACACAGTTATCAGTAATTTAGTAGGTCAATAGTGAAGATATTTTGTAATTTCATTACAAAATTATTATTATATTTTATTATCAGACCCTAACTAATGATAGGATCTTGTGTATATTGGTTAAAATCTTCTATGTTTTAATCCGAAACATTTTGTTCATATTTAATTTACAATATTTTATAATGTAAGAGACGTTTGTACATTTATTTCAAAGAATTTCTAAAATTTAAAGGTACTCCGTTGTTGGATTACGTCCTTTGTGAATATCTAATTGTAAGCATGCTGTAATACTTACATAAACTATGCATTGGTACAAAATTATACACACATATAGATATATACAAATATATATGTATATATATACATATGTATATACTGGGTGTATAATATAAACTAATTCAATATGTTCCGCTCGCACGCCTCGGCATAGTCGACGTAGTGTTTACATACAAGTAGTGTTCAAACGACGCGAGTTCGTCGTACTAAGTTCTGTGTTACAAATTTATCTAATACATTACAATTAAACACATTGATTTTAATTGTGATTAAACGTATTGACTTTGATTGTGTACCAAAGTACTTTCTGTGAAACCGTGCAAAAACTCCACATGCGCTATGTTATCCGTGATGTTTTATCAGATATGTACTAATGCGGAACCTACTTCAGTGTACAAGTTAGACCTACAATTGTCAGTTGCTATATTTAAGTTTTTTTTATTCAAGTATGAGGGTGGCCCATTTAGAAATTGAAATTTAATTTTGCTTAAACAATCGAAAATGTACTCAAAAATTGGGTGGATCGAATGGGCTACTGCCAAGTCAGCCGTGGTGGTCATTTGACCGAAATTATTTTTCATAAATAAATGTCATGAATCAACCTATTAAATAAATGTTCAACCGTTGAAAAATATTGAGCCGTTTTCATTTCATAGCAAAATTAAATTCCAATTTTAAAATGGGCCACCCTTTATAATAAACATAGAGTAGAACGGGGCACAAAAGTTCAATTTCACTATTAGTAATTATAGTGTGAAAACCAAATCAACTACTTTGACATCATTTAACACGTTACAAATAAATGTCGAGCTATGTTCAGTTAAATTCTCAATTAGTTCATCATTATGGCAATATGTTTGTCGATGTTTTTCAAAAATTTGTCTCCCCATTTTTTTATCCCTCATGCGGGAAAAAGTACTGCCAGGGGTAAAAAGGATCATCCATTTCATATTTAAGGTTGAACCATAACATTAAAAATTATAATCTAAATGTATGTAAGGTAGAGCGGGTGAAAATGTCCACCACGGATAATTCAATAATAAGTAAAATTGATTTTTTTAACAACAATATTTGAAAGAAGAGAGAAAGAGATGTATCTTGATTCCATGACCGCTATCGGGAGATAAACAGCAATGTTTGAAAATCACACAAGTATTTTCTTCCGTTGTTAGTTTTTTTTCGGTTTTGAGCACTGTTATTTAGTTTACGAGACTTTAATATGATTTTTAGGTCTACGTTATTCAAATGTTTCATAAGATTATTCCTATTTTCAAGTTAGATTGAACAGTTTCTTTTATATAACCTCCATAAAAGCTTACATGTGGGTGGAAAGGGACCATCTAAGCTTTACCCTGGAAAATGTGTAAACAATAAAAAATAGTGAATAAAAAAGTATTGTTTTAGAAAAGCAATTTTACAAGAGATAAGTGAAATAAATAGTTATTTCAACTCTCTTTTGAAGAAATACTATGTAAAAAATGTACTAATGGAATTTATATTCTGCATTGTCTGAATAATGTAGCTATTATTTCGTAAAATCTCTGTGAAATTAAAAATGTTCCATTTTTTACCATGTGGCAAATTTAAAAAAAAACAGCAAACAAAAAAACATATTTTTACAATGAGCAATTAGCTAGGAGTTTTATTGGACATAGTCAGATAGTTGTTTGTTTGATATGTGTTTTTTGTTGTTATATAATTGATTTGGTTTTTACAATATGGTAGCTGAAAGTTAAATTGGACTTTTGTGCCACGTCCTACTATATATTATAAACATAACAAACAAAAATCTTTATCAACTTTTACTACTGTAATAAATTTTTGCTTTGGTAGATATTCCTGTTTTAATTCTCATAAACAGGCTCACTGTTCTTGAAATACAATTACCGTTTATGTGAAAAATGTAAATAGAATTTTTGTTTGAAATAAATATTTCATGGGCACATTTTTTACAATGATCATACTGTGTACAACTTTGGACTGGAACTAAGTCAGAAGAATTAATTGTCAGAGTTGGAATAACTATTGAATTAAATAATCTTTTGTAAAATTGTTTGCTTTTAACTTTAATTTTTTATTGTTCACAGTCGGCAATCTAAAGGTTCAGGTGGTTTTTAACCCAATCACATGTAAGCTATTGTACAAGCTATATAAAAAACAGTTGAATATAACTTGAAAATAACAATATTCTAATAAATAAAACATTATATTCAAGTATAGTAATCTAAACAACACAGCTCAAAACCAAAAGAACTAACAACGCTAAAAATACTTTCGTTAAAAAATGGCAACATAGCCGTTTATCTCGTAATAACGACGTCGTTATGATTTAAGGCAATAGCTGGTTACACTCCTTGTGCCCTCTACTTGAAAATAGTATTGCTAAAAACTCTGGTTGACCTTTTCACGAGTGGACCTCAAATTCCGCTCTATTTAAAATGTGTTTTTCGTTGGTTGATACACTTTATTGTTAGTGGTGCAACTCTAGAATATATTTCCGCATATTATGTAAGTTTGATGTGATCCAATTAACATTTAAAACAAATAAATAAAACATTATAATTAGGTATTGTAAAATAGACAACAAAGCTCAAAACCAAAAAAAATATTAACTAAAAACAACTTCGCCAAAAATTGACAATGTAGCCTGTAATCTCTTGATAGCGACGTCCACCGAATTTTTGAGCGATTTATTTTTATAATGTTTCAAATCTCGTTATTAGTATGTGATCATTTAAAACGTTTCACCTCTATTTTAGAATAGTATAGTCGAAAAATCCATGCTTTTCCTGTTTTTGAGAGAATTCTGGTGAACCCTTTTACCCACGGACCTTTCAGCTCCATTCTACCTGTTACTATCAAACATATGTTTTTCCAAGTGATATAATTTATTGTTGGTGATGCAACTCTAGAATGTAGTTTCCGCATATTTTTATCATGTTTAAAATGTTATATCAATGTAAATTTAATGTGGTCCATTAGTATGTGATCATTAAAAACGTTTCACCTCTATTTTCGTTCTAGTTTGGCGATAACGCAAAACGGCGAAGCTGGCAGTAACGAACCGACTCGGAGGGCTTACGACCCGGCTACATCCGCTCTATTCAACTGTGATAATGAACCCATGTGAGTATATGATTTGATTATCTTTATGTGCGATTATTGTCAATGTCATTGTTTATCGTAGCACTAAACCTATTAATACATACCTGGTCCCGTTCTCGATCGGAATGACCCTTTTTTAATAAAATATTTAGATCATAGAGATATATGGTAGGAACTTGTTGCTCCTAGAGATGTCTTTAGTGAACGGTGTCATATAGAGATATTAAGGGACTGATTCTGCCATAAAATATACTAATGTTACGGCAAAGCTATGCTATGTAGCAGTTTTCATATAAAGTGGTACTAAAAACTGTCAAAAGGATATACCTATAAAGTTCACTTTTATTAATTTAAATAGGTTGTAATAGAATAATTTAAAATTTTATTTAGCATTTAGTTTTTTTTTCAACACTTACACGTGTTTCATTTCAACTGACATGACCAATATGAAATAAATTAAATTATAAATTTAATATGTATATATTGATCCTCATAAATGTATGTAAAAATGAATATCGCTCGTTGTTCTATGTGGTTGCTCAGTCAGGCGTTCTAGATAGAAAACCTAACCTAGAAAACGCACAAATTTCAGAAAAACGATGTTATCATAACTTTATCTTTGAGACATGGTTTGATAACATATAAGTAAAGTTGCATTTTGTGTAAAACGGCTGACATGGAACTTTAACAATATTCAGTAGCATTTTGTATGAAAACTAGAACGTATCATACCCTTGCCATAATATTGGTCTGTTTTACAGAATCGGCTCATATATTTGGTAAAATAATTATTTTACGTTATTCACTGTTATTATTAGTAATGTATAAAAATATTTTTGGGCAATAACACGTTGATGATTCTCACAATGGAAATTTGTATGAATTAATGAATATATTAGGTTGGAAACTAAGTAAGTGCGGTTTTCAGCTTATATAGTTTTAATAGAGTTTTTTTATTTGATGACATAGTCCAAATGTAAAATACCTTTTATGAAAAGTAGGCAGTTTAGCTGTCCATCAGTAAAAGAGTTTTTTATCCATTGCGTAGTTTTTGTTTGGCATTAATTGAATGACTTGAATGATGAATCATTTTATGTCATATTTTGCTTTTTTATATCTTCAAAAGTAAAGAGGCATCTTGAATTTACGAAAAGTTATGAGCGGTTCATACTAACGAAGCCTTGTTTTTTACACCAAGATGAAATACGAAGTTGATTAAAAAGGAATTTTCTACTTTGAACTGTTATTACTAACCGAATGATCAATTTTTTTGATGTCTACATTGTACAATTAACTAAATTCAACAATGAAGTTGAAAAAGCGGCTTGAATTGACAAATCTATACGGAGATTTATTCTATTAGTGACATCACATAATTTGAGCCACTCGAGCAAAAATATTCTAGTTTGGCTGGGATGTTTTGGCATATTCAGCATATAGTCCTGACATCTATGGTCCTGACCTTGCACCTTTTAATTACATTTTGTTTCGATCTTTACAAAACTCTTCAGAAGTTAAAAAATTTAATGTTTATGATGGTGTCAAATTGCACCGATTTAGTTTTTTGCTGATAAAGACCATAAGTTTTATGAAAGATAATGATGCTGCTTGAAAAATGAGAAAAGGTATTGAACAAAACGGACAATACATTAGAAAATAATGGTATTTAGCTCCATGAAAAAAAATTTTTTGATTCGCCAACCAAATAGTACAAAATATATGACCAAAAATAAAAGAAAATATGAAGTAAATATGAAGAAATTTTGTAAAAGAGCATCATCCGCCTTTTATGTTACATGTAAAAAAGATGTACTTAAATCATGATTACTTATATTTCTGATAAATTTAATTTGGCACTATTTTATCACGCTTTTATATAAGAATATAGTTCGTACTAAATACTTTAAATCATTTGCTAAAGCGTAAAAAAATCAAACTATATCATCTTGTTAAAAAAATGTTAGTCATGTCGAATATGCCTTTTGAATAAAACTATTGAAAGAAGCAAAACTTCGTGGTTCAAATCATACATATGGAATTTAAGTTACGTCAAATTCTAGTTTTGATGATGAGTTTAACTTAGCATGAATATAAAACAATTGCCATTAATTTCTAATTAAAATAATACATAATATACACAGAGAAACATTACAGTTTCTTTGTAATACATAATTACAGAGAAACTTTGCAGTAAATCTTACCCTAATGTTATTACAATATAATAAATTATTATATCGGAAGATATTAGTAGCTACTGCGGAATTTTTAATAAAAGTCTACACAATAATTTGTTCTAAGTATACCTGCTATAGATGTAATTTGGATTTTAGTTGTTTGAAAAATACTACAATCCAATTTTATTAATTTAAATAGGTCGTATAAAAGAATTTAAAATTTGATTTAGCATTTAATTTTTTTTGACTATGATTGTGATTACATCGAAAGTATAAATTATAAATTGAGTATGCATATATCCATCATTATAAAACTATGTAAAAAATGAATATCGCTTGCTGTTACT